GGTAGGGGGGCCGTGGAAAATCCCATGGAAAATGACATAGAAACTGGATCTATATAGGGGGCTGAATCGGTTATGATGGGAGGTTAAAAAGTATGGCCATTTATCCATTTTTGGACCCCCTTTCTAGTACATACTTGGGTACACCGAGAAGACGCCACATTTTTTGACAACCTCCAGATTCAAATCGTGAGAAAATGCTCAACCTTGGTCCGGTTACGGAAGGTTTTCGATGCACAGCTTACTGTGCTACTGGGAGGGGGGTAGGGTCCCCAAATTAGGGGTACCATTTTGGGGATCCCTCGAATAAGGAGTATACTGTACTAGTACTGTACTAGTTAATGGGGACTACCAATGGCTGTCAGCATTTTTGCTGCAACTTTCTTAGTTGAGCTTTCACATGGTCGCAGCCTGTCAGGTCATGAGAAGGATTGAGCACGCGGAAGGTCTCTTGCAAGAGGCCAGGCAGGACTAAGATCAACCCAAGCAAAAACAAGCGCAGCAGTCAGCAGCGCTTGCATACGTCGAGCCTATGCGTAACCGCGACAATCATTACCCGGAGGTTCATGAGTAGTTACACGTAAGGATTAGAGTGTTTGCAAGAAGGATATGCATAAGTTGTATAAGTATAGCCCCACTGAAAGCTTCCAAGTATTTGAAATCAAATCTTGTGACTCGAGCCTGAGAAGGCAGCGGATGCCATGAATGACGAGTACAGCGAGGAGCCGCCCCTCCTCCATGTAACAAACGGGCTTCGCAAAAAAACATGTTCCCATTTTAGCTTCCATTCCCCAAATCAGGATTCTGTCGTATTTGGGAGCATCCGGTTTCCAAAGCACTGGGCAATTCTTAATGGACCTCACCCCAAACGGTAGTTTAGATAGAAAAAAATCTTCGGGTTTCTGAAATTTTCGAAAGGTAGCTGTTAAACAGCACCTGGCGCTGCTTTGTTCTAATGGGCGGGTCACTCGCTTGGAGAGGTAAGATATCTGTTGGCCGGGTACGATCTTGTGCTCGGGAGTAGTTGGACTTGATATGACAAATCTACAAGGCACAGCGTATGTCGCGCAGCTCTGCTGGACTGCGACCTTGTTTGCCGAATTTCACTTGTCGAAGTTCCTGAAACAGCCCAACACAGGCGCGTCAAGAAAGAAGAAGGATCCAGGTGTCTATAACCAAGATCCTACCTTGTCTTGGGCGGGGTATCTTATTAGTGAACTCAAACTGCCGCAGTGAAGACCTTGCATCTGACCCATTTGACCCTAGCTCTTCCTAGATTCCGCATCTACACCCCATCCTGGATTCGAGTGCCCAGCAGCTTCATGCTATGGGAGGAGACGCTAGCAGCGTATGAGGCGGCGAATGCCAACGTCGAAGCGTGGCATTGAGATGATGAGGGCGGGGTAGGGATCTAATGATCTGTTAAATACACTGCTCCCAAGGGGATGGGCTGGGGCTGGTGTAGCATAGTTTGCCTGAGGCTTTTTATGCGTAGCATAGACGTGTCCACCATGAACACAGTTGGATTGAAAGGGATTCGGATCTTGGAGCACCTTGAGGCGGTCCGCTTCACCGGTCGGACCTCAAGGAGGGTTTAGGATGCTTTCGCAGTTTTTGCTTACATATGGGCGCGGCAGAGGTCATGATAAATGGAATTGGCGTAACACAACACGGTGTTGAGTTGAGGGGCTCTTGTTGTTAAAGGAGGCACGCCGGGTGATACACTCTGATAGGCCAGGGCCCTTTCCTGCACGTACCTTGGCTCTCACGACTTGCTCCTGTGGACCCTCTTCACTTTCGTGCGATCTGCATTGGAACGCTGCGCCTGACATGTGGCGTGTGATTAGGCTCCAATCGAGACGCATTGAAATCTGATCGCTTTGTAGCTATGCATGTTGAAGCCAAGTGGGGTCTTAACAAAGAAGCCAGAGCAGTTGCTACCAGGGACCCAGAACAGGATCAAATTTGTGGAGTTGTGGGTCCCAAAGAAGCGTGTTAAGGTTTAGTTTAGGGTTTAGGGTTGCTCCTCATGCATGTCTAAAATCGTTATAATCTGTACAAATGCATCAGGCAAAGGGGACCATCGCCTGGAAAAAGAACCCTAAACCTTACAATCTCTGTCCGTATCCCAGAAAGAAATATTATACTGACACAGCACCCCAAGAGATCCAAAAGTCTTGGAGAAACCGACAACCAACCTAAACCCTAAACCTTAAGCTACAGTAGGTGGCACTTTGAGAAAATTGACACTGACCCTTGTTGTTGCATAAGGAACCTCTTCATACACAATTTTGGGGACGATTTAAGGTACCACCAAAGTAGAACTTCACGCACAGATGGAGCCCAGGAAGAGATGTACGAGACTATGCAGGCTTTGGAAGACCAGCTGGCCATGTCTTAGTTCCTTCATACGCCAGATCGGAGTAATTTCAGCTTTGAATTGCGAGTTCGCAGGTTTGGGGATCAGGGGAAGTTTAGGGTTTAGGGTCCACGCCAGGCAAATCAGACATCCCTTCCACAGAAGCAAAAACTTGCTGGTTCTTAGTCGGGAATGACGGAATATATTATGTATAAGGATTGTATTCCCTTATTCCCTGAGAACAAGTAAGAAAAGGAATTTAGGTTCTCTACATCACCATGTAAAGTTGCTCGAGGGGTTCGTATCATGCACATGGTGTCACAGATGCACTGTACTATGTACAACCCCTAGCGCTTGCTGCAGTAATCCAACAACGAACTGCTAAATCAAAGCGGCCAGTTGGGGTGATAGGATGAAGGACATGTTTCACAACATTTCAGAGCAATGACTGGCACCTTGGGATTCCTAAAGCATGGCCAGTTGCAAGAGAAGGCAAGCAGTCAGACAGCAGTCCATGATGACGACCATGCTTCAGGGAATCCCCATCACATCCACTCCAGCATGTACAGTTGTGGTTCACCAAATTCTGCCACCTGCGCACCAGCAAGATTTTCAGCCATGATGTAAGGCTCCGCTACGATTTTCCATACCCTTGCGAAGCGCCAGGGTTTCCTCTTTGCTTTCGGATGAACATTCTGCGTCCAGCCTTTTACCCTATTATAGTAGTTTCCATTTCTCTTTCACTATCTCAATAATATGACCCCAATATGTTCCCTTCTTGGACCCCAATACAGACCCCAATATACATATAGAGTTAGAGAGTGTTTATATGAAGCAGCTGCTGTCAGATTCTGGAGGCCTTTGTTGGTTATGTTTCAGGCAGGGCGCCATCAAGCAGGGGCCTCTCATCAAGCCTTCTAGACCTGAAGTAAGTGATCCTAAGCAGGGTTGCTCTTGCTGTTAATGCTACTAGGCAAGCTCCTGGGTGCCCCCAGCTGTTTGAAGTTGATCTCACCGGTGGTTAGGCACAGGTTGCGCTTGCAAGGGCCTAGGGGGATGGAAGTTAGGACATGTGTGAGGGGCTTTTAACTTGTGCATGTGGAGAATTCCAGCCACTCAAGCCTTCTTGGGATGGACTTTCCCAAGAAGGCATGCCACTGCATCAAGATTCATAAGCCTTCTAATCCACCCTTGGATTCGGTCCAAAAAGACATAGTGCAACGTATCCTCAGATGCCTGAGGGTGCAAGACCTTACCAAAAATCCGCGTTTTGACATTCAAAGCCAGGATCAATCCGAAAAGCAGGGGCCAAGAGTCTGAGGCCGATACAAGTCGTGCCTCCTCCATTGTTCAAGGCGCACAAGCCAGATAGACCGACGATTTAAGCTGCACGAGATGGGAGCTTGCACGGAAAAAAAATGCAGGTGCTCACTGCGTGTTAAGTTCCCGGTGGTTAGTAATTCGGGAGTAAAGGAATACAGGGTTTGGGTTTAGGGGTTTAGGGTTTAGGTAATCCCTACATGGCCCCTAGCTCATAATCATATATCCCTCATTCCCTACTAACCACCAGTACGCTAGGAACACAGTGCCCGCTCCTTAAGAAGTAGCCGTGGACTGGCACTGGGGCATGTTTAGAAGTGGCCCCATGTACCTTGGTTTCGACAGCCACTGGGCCGCTCATAGTTCAAGCTTTCGCGAAGACTGATGAGATGAGATCAGGTTCCATTCCATTCCTTCTATCATGTTATTCATCAAGAGCCCCAAGGACAACTGAGTTTCCTTTTCATTTCCCGTTTCTAGTATTGGGAGTATGTAACCCCAAGGAGTGCGTGTTTCTGAGGGTTGCGTACGCAAATGAGGACCCAGTCCTGCAAGGCCCTGCAAGCGTGAGCACATTGTAAATTTCCATTATGTGGTGCAATTATTGGGAGGTCATATTTTGTATTCGAGGGTGCAACGGTTTCTTCATATCAGCGGGCAAGATTACCAAGGCGTGTGCCAGTCTGATGAATCGTCTCTACTTGGTCAGATCAAATGCACCTCGCACGTGCGGTTAGAACTATTGCCAAAGTTGCCGGAATTGCCGAAATTGTTTATCGCTTTTATTGTCAAACCAGCCATATTATTGTCTTAAGTATTGTCTTTACACTTTAACTTTTGTCATCTCTTGTTACCAGTCCCCAACGTGCACTTGAGGGCTGTTGGATGCCACCGCAGTTTTTCTTGCTATCCCAAGCTACAGCGTTTTGGTATGCAGGCATGAGAGCTTTGATGTCTCTGAGTCCAGATTGATGGGTAGCATCCGTGTGATGATTACTGTGCCCATGAAGTGCTGTAACACCACATCCCTACATGTCCACTTGGTACAACTTGCCATGAACATCCATGAGCCTCCTAAGCCCCAAACTTGAGAAGCGGCTAAACCTCTAAACTCGCCTGGGGCCTCAGGTGCTGGAATGACGTTCGCTGGGCCGCAGAGCACGGGCTGGTGTTCGCCTCAAAAAGGGCTACACCCGAACCTAGAGTCTAGCAGAGGATTTGATGATTGTATTTGATGGCTTCGGAGAGATCATTTTGTGGCATCAGAGGATGTAAAAAAGCATGTCTCATATTATATAGATTCAGAGACAGCCCTGCTCTTCCTGTTTTTGACCAACATCTCCTCCTCCTGAATGCCGTATCTCAAACTGAACAAGAAGGTCCTGACCGATTCTTCATCTCAGAAAGAGGCATGGATGGGCGCTCTGCCTCTGTAAGCCCAAATGGTAAGTCCTGCGAAGGTGGTGGGGACGTCATCCTAGACGGTAAATCCGAACCCCACGCGAAAAGCTTGCCCAGGAAGAGAATCCTGAGTGGTATCCTGAGCTGCGGCCAGGAGCAAATTGGAAGGACCGGCTGCCCTCCGGCGCATGGAGGGATTTGCTATTCATGCTCTTTTTTATTTGTGGTGGTGGTGGTGGTGGT